ACTGTGAATGTCGAGAAAGTAACTGAAACATGAAATAATACAAAAACAGCATCTATCCGGAAAATGGCAACAGAGTTGCACTTTTAAATTTTTCAATGCTATCTAAAACTATGTCATAGTATTTTTTGCACGGAATTGAATGGAAAGCCTAATATAGAGAAATACTATTCAATGCGATGAGCATAAGAAAAGAAACGTTCCATGGGTTTCTTATCTCGAAGCCGTTACAGACTATATTTTAAGTTCTTTTGAAACATGTACTTTTTACTCAAAGATAACCCATGATTAACAAGTGTCGAACACACAGTTAGAAATCTATCTTTGAAGATAAAAATAGAAGAACATTTGTTTCAGAACTTTTGCAATATCTGCTAATTATATATAAATTACTACAAAAGATTGTATTTTTTATTTTCTTAAATAGCATATTCCTCCACGTGGTTGTGCATTTGTTTGTTTTAAAGAACGTTCTGATGCTTCAAGATGTTTAGAAAAAATGAAAGATTTTCATTTTCACGGAAATCCAATTAAAGTAAAATAAGATAAAATTCAGTTTCTTATAGAAATTTATTTTGTATCTTTTATTTTTAAGATTGCATGGGCAACAAACAAAGGTTTAAAAGATCGTTTTAAAGATTGTTGGGATGCTGATCATGGTTGTACTTATATACCTTATTCAGAATTAAAAGATATTCCTAATTTAACAGCATTAGCTGAAGGTGGAACCATTGATGAAGAATCAATGCCATCATTTTTAAAATGTTTGTTTTATTTTTCTTCCTGTTTTTTTTTGTGTCTTATTTTAATTTATTAAATCATCTTATTCTAGCTACTATTCCACCAATGCGTGTTGATGTTCCTCCAATAATTCATCAACAACCAACACAACCACTTGTTCATTCCCAAACATCATTTGCCCATCAAGAATTTCCACCACCAACAAATCTTCCACCTAGACCAACAACTGTTCATTTAGAATCATCAAATCGTTTAGGGCCAGCTCCAACAATTCTAATGGCACCATCACATGAATCTTCAATACGTGTTGGTTTACCTGTTCAAATGATGCCACCAGGTGCACAAATTATACAAGTACAACAACATCCACATGGGCAACCTGTACAAGTTGTTCAACATATAGCCGGTTAATTAAAATCATGGAAAATAAATTATTTCATCTAGATTTTCTATTTAATTTAAAATAGGACGAGTATTTCCTAATAGTCAGATTGTTCATCAGATGCCTTATGGTCATGTAGTTGCAACTGCTCAACCACCACCTCCTATACAATTACAACATCATCCTACCGAATTAAAAGTAATAATAACGAAAATATTATTAATCAAAATAAATAAAAATAATATATATTTTTTTACAGGATCTCAATCCACAAACATTTGCACATGGTATGTAGTAACTGATAATAATATTAATAGATTTTGTATCTTGTTAACTCGCTTTTGTCTTTTTGTGAGAAAAAACATTAAGTGTAAACAAGAATGTGTCATTATATATATATGTATATACATCACTCTCTAGGCGGCGGTTTGCATCTTTTAACAAATGCAACTGCTGTACCAACTCATCATCATTTTGTGACTACTGCACCAGTAGCGACAGGAGCTCCATTAACGACTGCTACTTTTGCTCGCACTGTTGAGGGTAAAACATAAATAGCACTTGTAGTGAATTTACCTGCACATTAAATTTTTGTTTTAATTTTTTTCCCAATTGCATGTTTTATTACTTTTGTTCTTTTTAATTAAATTCTGTTATGATTTCTTATTCGAACTAAAAAGCATCTTTTATATTTATTTCATAGGTCCTACTTTAATTCAATTTCGTGATGATTCTCATCGACGACTTTCACCATCAGTATCAGCACATTTTGATGAACATCATCGTCATCATTTATCATCAACTGATGAACAATTAGTTCATCTTTCAACATCATCGACACATTTTCCATCATCATTAATTGGTGAATCACCATCACCAAAACGTATTCATCATCATCAATTTGGAAATAGTATGATACAAGGACAACCATCACCACTTTTACCAACACCAACGAAAAATGATGAACATCAAAAACAATCACCTTTTCCACGGCGACCAAATCGTTTTGAAGAACGAGAAGATTTATCACAAACACAAGATAATATTGGAAACTATTCAGGATATCGTGGTGGACGAGGTGGTTATAATGATCGAACAAATTCTGGTGCCATATCAAGAGGTTCTAATCGAGGAAGAGGAGGTTAGAAGTTTAAATAAAGTTATATGGAATAAATCAATAAATTTTACTTTTAGGTGGTGGAAATAGTAGTGGTCGAGGTTATTACAATAATAATGATCGAAGTGGTCGATCCGATAATAATGATGGAGGATTTCGAAATCGAGGTGGTTTCAACAGAGGAGGTAGCTTTTTTTTTCTTATCTCTTTGTAATTCATTATGCATATTTATTGAATAGGTCGTGGTGGTGGTGGTAATAGTAGTGGTCAATCTCGGTTTTTTCCTCGTGGTAATCATCGAGGTAATAGTCATGATCATTCATCATCACGTCGATCATCTCGTAGTCCTGATCGTCGTTCATCTTCATATCGTAATGATCATAATACAGATAAATATTCTTCAACAACAACAACAACAAGTGGATTTTCTGCACCACCATCTGATGAATTTTCTCATCGTTCATTACCAGTTGAAGCACTACGTAAAAGAGATCAATCAAATATTGATTCATTATTAAATAAATCATCATTAACTATCGATGAAACTAGTGGTAGTAGAAGCGGGCATACTGATTAAACATTAATCGATTGATTTTTCTTTTGTTTTTTCATTCATTATACACATATTACACATTTTTTTTTCTTTTTCGTTTGTTCTACATGTTGCTTTTCTTCTTTTTTTTGTGTTCGATGTGAATGTACAGCATTATGTCTCCATTTTCCCATTGTTCTTTTTTTTCGCACACGTACACATACCCAAGATGCTTGAGAAAGAAAGACAAATTTTTAAAAACGAAGATTTTTAGAGTACAAATGCTACAATGAAAATCAAATATGTGTATATGTATATCAACAGGCACGACATAGAAACATTAACTAAATAGAAATATTTCAAGAACAGAACGAAATTTGAAAAATAATGATTTTAATCTGGAAGAATTGACTAAATAAGACATAAAATAGAATTAGTTTCTTCGAAATTATTACTAAATGAAACAATACAAATATTAAAACATCAGCGTATGCTATAGCATGCTGAAGATTCTATTACTGACTAGGATTCACTACCACTGAAGTGATAATGTCATAGAATGACATATACAAAGCACATGAACTAACTGATGGTGATGCAGACAAGGATGGCAGAACTTTTGATAAACTCCGATATTCTATAGTATGAATTCATGGATAACCGACAAGTTTTTGCAAAATAATTTCTTTTATCGAATTTTATCTGCTGGTTCAATAGAAGATAGACAGAAAATAACTTTGGCCGAAAAAAAAAATTGTCACTTCTATCTAAAATACTGAAAAGATTTGGCTCGTTCTCTGGAAATATCTATGGAATGTCATATACGTTGTTACAACATATTTTTCGTCGATCACATATATTTGCAATGAGTGCTGAGTTCTTGTCATGAGAAGAAAATCAAAATTTTATTAAAAGAAAAGACAATTCGGTTAAATCAGTACTTAAAAAAACACTAAATACAAGTAAAATTTGAGATAATTTCCAGAAAAATTTTCATCAATAGCGACTTGTTAAGAAAACTTCCATGCTAGTAGAGATAATGAGTAGCGCTGATTTTTTTTGCAATACTTACTTTTGAAAGTCAATCAGATATAGATGCTTTTTGTGTTCTGGTCCATTTTTCTATTTGATGTTATTTTGATATAGGACTGACAGTTTCCATCAACTAAAGATTGCCATTGTCAAGAATAAATTGTACATGAAAAAAAGAATAAAATATGTTTTTTTCGGAGTTTCTATAATTTGCATCAACTCCGACTGAGGCTTCGGAAAAAAAGAGATTGACTCGAATTCGAACTTCAACGGAATCGAGTTTCTAGAGATCTTCTATTGTATCCCAATTTTTTTAAATAATTTGTATTAAAAAAAAAAACTTTTCACAACAAACAGAACGATTTCAAGTTTCCAAATGATATTGTTTGAGTTGTAAAAGATCAGATATAATACTGGTCTTCATCTTTTAAGGCTTTCAGTTCAAAATCCAAAGAGATAACAATGTTTCAATATAAATATAATAATTAAACTTCCAAATTTTCGAAAAATTAATTAATTCAAGACGTCTTTTATTATGTTCATCGTATTTCTTCTACGAGGAAAATATTGCATTTCAGGGTGATATCTAATTGAAATTGTAGCCTTCTCGAACCTATAAGATGTTTTTTTTTCTAGCTTTTTGCATTCAATGACTAGCATAAACTAAATATTTCTCGAAACGATTGGAATCTATAAGGTGCGAGTCCGGGTCCCAACCAAAGTCGACGACATCCACTCCCAAATAAAATAAAATATGGCACGATTTATCCTTTTGGGATCACCCAAGAACTTCTTGTCTCTATAACAGAAACATTATTATTATTTGAGCTTTTTCTTGTAAAGGAGCGATTAAAAACTCCTGGAGGTGAACCAAAACTACATAGTATATCGTACAATACCGACAATCTTCAGAAGCATCAACTACATTTGAAGAGATTCACCGCTTTCTTCGATCTCCACGCAAGGTAAAACATAAACTACAACGATTGATCTATCAATAATCGTTTTTCTTTATTCAAGCATATAAATATGTACTAAAAAAAATAAAGAAAAAACAAATTCTTTTTTTAAAGTTGTTTTCCATATATAAAAACTAAAAATGAAAGATACAAGCAAGCATAAAACGCTATTATACATTTTATTAGCTGTCTGAACGATGAAGCGTTTCTCTACAATATCTATTCATACATACTCTGAGCTTATCTCCTATTTAAACATTTTGTAGATTTCCTTTTCGATTTTAATTGTGAGTTAGATGGCATCGAAGATGTATTGTTGACAATACCATGACCATGTTTCTTTTTCGTCATTAACTCATCAAAATTTTTAATTGATTCATTTAAATGATCATGGAGGAGTACTTAAGAAAATAATAATAAAATATAGAAAAATATTCTATTTGATAAAAACAAGATATGCATACCATGTGAAAAGTTCATATATAGATAAATTGATTCATGAATTTTTTCATTCTCATAGTAAACACTAATATTTGCTTTTACATGACTCATAGGTGGATATTGAAAAAATGGCATTTTAAAATGAATAACTTTACCATTTAATATAAATTGTTCTATTTCTACAGACCAATCATTTGTTTGTTTAGAAATCTTAATAGATAATTTTTTTTCATCATCGTTTTTAATAGGACCTGTAAGAACAATAGTTATAATTGACGGACTACACATTGAACCAAATGTTGGACTAATAAACTCAACACCAACATCACCATAATCTATAAAAACAAAATAAATTTTTATTGAATCCTTTTCTAAGAAAAAAAACTATTTCATTCTTACGTTCTTTCATTATACAAGAATATGCTTGATCCATATGATCTCGTTGAAATTTACCAGATTCATCTCGATAAATTCGTGTAAAACGAAGCATCAATTGATCAAGTTCTTTTGATGTAATAAGTTCTTTTGTGATATCATCATTTTGTTTACTTTTAATTAATTCCATCATAAAACTATTTAAAAAAAAATAAGCTTGTATTGAGGTAAAAGTTTTGAAAAAAAAACAAAATAATGTATTTAAATTATCTTACGCTTTGTAACCGTTTGTAAAATCTTCCTCGGTTAAGCGAAAATACAATTGATTTGGTTGATGTTCTTTGAAAATTAATGCTTGTTCCTGGAACCATTCTTTACTACTTTTATTAATAATACAGTAGGGATGTGCTTGTTCCTAACATACAAGTAACGCGACGCAAACGTTGCTAACCATCTACTGAAAGGATCTATGCCGTTGTGTATATCATGTGTGGACACATGAGTTACGGGCCTACTATTCTCCTATATACTTAAAGGAACAAAGGGTGTGAGTGTGAGTGTAAGTGTGAGTGTAAGTGTGGATAAGGATGTACGTCTGGTCGAACTGAACACTTACCCACACCCACCCAAACCCACACACCCACACCCACCCAAACCAACACACCCACACCCACCTACACCACACCCCACACCCCACACCCACACCCAACCACACCCAGTCACACCCCACACCCACACCCACACCACACACTCACACCACACACCCACACACCACATCCACACCCAAGTAGTGTGACACAAATAATAACAAAAATAGATCAATGATAAACATCTTTGTCATTCTTTATTATACATACTACAGTGTTTATTGTTTCCGTTAAATGGTAAATATTTCTTCAAGATTTGGTTTAAGACTATTCTTTATCAGAATATCTGCTTTGTCCCCATCAATATTAAGTGTATAATACTTCAATATGTCCAATTCAAGAATGCATAAACTTTCTTGCCCAGGTCTATGGATACGGCTATCCGTATTTTCTCGTAATCATCAGCATAGTAATACGGCACCGTATACGATGCCGTATTTTCACAGTATACGGCTGTATACGGGGCGTAATCTCATTATGATAAGGCCGTATTTCTGTGCCCGATATTAAGACCGTATACGGTCCGTTTATGCGTCATAAGGTAACCGTACACGGTCGTTTACGGACCGTATCGTTCGACCTGGATGATTAATGCAAGCTATGACATTGTAACAATGTTCATCAATATTAACTTGAATTTTCGTAAGTTTTTGTCGTTGTATACCAGCACTTGTTTCAATATTAATATAAGCTGCATCAGCAGGAAATGGTTTCAGTTTTTCTGGCCCAGGACGAGCATTACGACCGTATATCGTCGTGTCGTATACGACGAAATACGACTTGTATAAGACCATCGCAAACGATTGTACACAATCGTATACAATGTTGATTGTTACCATCTTTCATGCAAGCTTTTGCTACCTACGCCCCCTCCCCCCTACTCTTTTAAAATAGAAAAACTAATCCTTGGGGTGTCCAGGCTGACTGGAGTCTCCAATTCTTTTTTTCTCATGCAGTTTCGATGATATATCATCGTATTGTTTCGATATATCATCAAAGCTGCATGAAAAAAAAAAGAATTTGGACCTCCAGTCAAATTGGACATCCCCATTTAATTAAATTGATACTTAACTATTTCATCTATCCTTTGTGATAATCTAAAAAATAAAAGCTAAAATTTCTTTAATCTAAAAGATAAAAACTGAAATTTCTTTAATCTAAAACTAACAAAATAAAATTTCTTTAATCTAAAACTAAAAAATAGAATTTATTTAATCTAAAAAATAAAAATTTTAATGTATTTAATCTGAAAATAAAAGCTAAAATTTATTTAATCAAAAACTAATAAAATAAAATTTATTTAACCTAAAAAATAAAATATTTAATTTATTTCATCTGAAAATAAAACCTAAAATTTATTAAATCTAAAAGATAAAAAATAGAATTCATCAAATAGAAAATTAAATGTATAATAGAAATATCAGTATTAGATCTAATCTAATGTATAGCATACTACACTATGCGCTAGTCTAAAGGCGACTATGCCTTACAGCTAAATTTTTGACCAGATAACGATATATACGTAGCCTTATAGAGAAAAACTTCCTCTATCTAAGGGTGTATGTATTATTAAGTTCTGCTGCGTACCAAAATTGTCGATAGATGGCGTCACATTTGCTGTGCCTACTATAGAATATACAGCAAATGTGGCGCCATCTATCGAAAATTTTGGTACGCAACAGAACTTAATAATACATACACCATTAGATAGAGGAAGTCTTCCTCTATAAGGCTACCTATATCTCGTTATCTGGTCAAAAGGTCATAGTCGCCTTTGCAATATTGAAGATGTAATCATTAATGAACAAAGTCACATTCCAGTTAATTCTGGAGAAGAGTTAAGTAAGAAATATTTATCAAACCTTTAAAACACAATACCTTTTGATACTTACTAGTAAACCATGAAACAAGTCAAATCGAAATCATATCAACAACGTCTACAAATAATATAAATTTTGATTCAAATGAATGCGGTGAGAACAAATATTTTAACGGTATTAATTTATTACTACCATTGAATTTTCTTCTGCTTCAGATTACCATTTGCCACAAGACAATTATGAAATAGTTGTTAAAGATAATGAATGTTCTTTGAATATCAATTCTGCCACAACAAATAGTGCTGATACTCTGAATAATTATGATCAATCTTCATCTTCTATATTAATACAAACACCTGTAAAAACAATGTTAGATGTATCCAATAATATTGTTACATCAATCAAAGGTGTCGGATTTATTAATTCTCATGAAATGACGATAACTCAAAAACAACGTAGTAATCATCCAGATATACCATGGAATTCAAATAAAAATCTGCCGTCAGCTAAACCAAGCTCAGCATGGTTTTTGACAGATCATCCATGGCTGCGTGCCATTCGTACAGATAATCAATATGGTTTATTATGCATTGACTGTGCTGAATTTGCATCGGATGAAGCGGCTATTAAAAAGTCCCAAGGTGCATTCATTGTAAGACCATACTGGAAGTTAAAGCATAAAGGATTGGAAGGTAAGCACAGAAGCTTGCATTGCACGTTTATTATTTAAATAACATTTTGCTGATTAGGGATCCAGGAACAGAAAAAAAGCGATTTACATCGAACACGCACTGATCGACGAATTGCATCAAAAATTGTCTCGATTAATGGTAATGTAGCAGGTCAATTACAATGTGTAAATTTAGACATTCAAACACGAAAATATCTTACTATTCTTATTCAAACTCTTTGGAATATTATCAAGGAGGAAATTGCACTAGTAAAATTCAAAACGTTGATACAATTTCTTTATCATGTACAATGTCCTGATGTTGTCAATTGGTTTAAAATTTCAAATGTAAAGGAACGGTGGGTTCTGAATTTCTTTTATTCAATGTGTAGTGACTTTTTCTTTCTAGATATTGGAGTTGGGAAGCAATAGCTGAATGGCTACAAAGTATTGATAAATATGTTCATCATTTGCAAACTCCTTCAATTCGTAAAACTCGCTATATTAATATCATTATGGATGAAACTCGTGATATAACGGCTAATGAAATGCTTTGTTTATGTTTGCGATATGTAGAAGAAGATAGTGGTAATATTCGAGAAGAAGTTTTTATGTTCAAGCCAGTTATAGATGGAAGTGGACAAGGTAAAATACTTTATTTAAATATGTGTATAGTATTTCGTGTTTGTTACTGAATTAGGTGTATTCAACATTGCTCGAGAATTTATCGAACGTCTTCAGCAGGAAACAAACAAAGAACTGATAATTACAGCACAAACATATGATGGAGCGTCTTCGATGAGTTATCAGGCACGAGGGCACGTTCGTAGTCGATTATCAACCTGGGCAATATATATTTATTGTCGTTCACATTTATTAAATTTAAGTGTTCAAGATGCAATTGAAATTTATATGTATGATATTTATGATACTGTTCATTCAACTTTGGTTTTTCTACGCGACAGTTCTATTCGTCTTCAAGTGTTATCTGAAAGTCAAAAACTTATCAACTGCAACAACAAAGGTGATATTTTTCTATCCATAGGTCACGAATGATATTAATTATTTCTCAATTCCTTTTTTTCTAGAAATTGTGTGCCAAAGCCGAGTGACACTCATTAGTCTTACGCATATGAGCTCGTACATTTTATATGCACAAATTACATAGCTGTTGTTATAGCACTTTCAACAATATCATAACACAAAACAAATGGATCTTCGGATGCGAGACGATTTGCATTTGACTTAATGAAACCTGAAGTAGTTTTTCAAATACATCTTATGCATGACGTGCTACGTCCTTCATTACAATTTTTGCGTCAAATAGAAAAAAGGGGTTCCTGTCTTGATGAATTTGTAACTCACGTTGATGCTGCACGTAATACGATTAAACAATCGATTGAAATGTTTGATTTTAATCAAGTGCGAAAAATATTGAATGACGTTCAAAAGTATTTACCAACAGTGGAACCAACCCTTAGATCAACACGCTCTCAAATTCAAGCAATAGCGACAGATTTCGATGAAGAACAATTTCGTGATACAGGTAAGACCTTTATTAATCCCTTTCTTCAATCGCTCGACGATAGATTTAATGCTGAAGCGCAAGAATTAATTAAAAATATTGCTATGTTATCATCACCTTTGAAGTTTTCAGCTGAAGAATTACTTCAAAATTCGTTAATAATTCAATATTGTTCTCCAATGACATATAAACATACGGCTGTTGATCGGCAAGTATATGAAAGAACTGATTCATCTTTACTAAATTATCAAAAATTGAAAAATGATGTATTTGCATTTCTTACTATTGTTGGCAATATAACATCCATTACATCCATTACACAACGTCTTGCACAACATGGAAGTGAACAATGTCCAGAATAGTACAAGCTATTTCAAATTTTAGCAACATTTGGTATCGGATCGAACGAAGCCGAACGTACATTTAGTACTTTAAAACGAATAAAGTCATGGTTACGAAATGGTTCAAGCAATTCAACGTTAGAGATTTTAATCAAAGTGTATCATCACTTAAAGTTAATTTAACAGATGA